CGTTTGGGAACTTCAATTCCGTTCATACTTTCAACTTGCTTAATTCAAACATGGCGTTAATTTCGGTGTTAACATGATGAAAAACATGTTAGAGATTTTTACCCAACGAGGTTTAATCTCACTATTGTGTTCCGTTCACACGCTACATTTCCTAGAGATTCCCCCCCCCCCCCCGCCCTCAGCTCCTCTTTACCCGAAGCAAGTGACTGCCCATACCCGAAAAAGTTTTATCAGCCACGTGCGCTCTTCCCACCCGGATCCTGTTTTCACACTGAGTAACTTCCCAAGCTGCCTTAGAACACTCCACTCCCCCAAAAGTTCTTGCTCAGACTCTTACTCTTTCCGAAATTGAAATAGCAAGAAAATTCGAATTGACGTCTTTGAAAATATTTAGCCAACATCCAAACCAAATCTAGAGTTCATCAAAATTGAACACTCCCTCTTTCTTTTCACACAGTAACCTTTTTGCCCAATTCCTCTTTCACTTCAAGATTTTATGACAAATCTCTCGATCGCATTTCGTAAGGGCTTTTCAGACTGTCCAGCATCCTTGCGATTCATCCATAGGTACTTAAAATCCACCAATCTTCAGATTATCTTATTGTTAGCAAGCAACTGATTCAAATTCTTGAAGGGACCTACTCAAAGATGTTTCGCTTTGAGCTGCTCACCTAAAATCTCCGCTCCTTATACAAATTTAAGGTTATTCACATTTGAAGAGCGTGTGACTTCTGGATAGACAGTTTAGAGCTTTTATTAGCAGAAAACTCTGAGCAGAAAATTTTTCATACATCCATTGTAGAAAAAATACTCACGAAGTCAGTACAAAAGCATGTAAGATTTTTGAAGAGCGCTAATTTTTTTTCAGTTATTTGAGGCGCGAAGTGAAAACTTTGATAGTCCAAAATGCACTCTCTGACACGTTTTGAGTAGTAGACATTTGCAGAATGAATGATGTTTGTAAATAAATACCTCTTGAATGGCATGTTGCAATTTCACAGATGCTAAGCATCTGATTTGAGAATTTGTATCAATCACTGATCTCTTCCACAAAGTCAACAATGTTTTTTCTTAGAGAATTCAGTGACGCGCTGTTCAACAAAGTTGCACGATCAAAGCTGTGCTCAAATTACTGCTAAAAACACAGAATGAAGTTGCTTTTGAGTGGGTCAGTATGGAAGTTTGTGAAAAATAAATCACTTGAAATTCGTAAGACTGCCACTGTTCTGCTGTAATACCTGACAATTATTTCGAATGACATAAGCATCTCAAACGAAGTGCTCATTCCAAAAAAAATCATAGTTACAGACTGTCCGGAAAGTGAAAGTATTTGCGAGAAATTTTCAAAAATAGATTTAGTGCAGTTTATCTGAGATAAAAGCATTTGCTGAGCATTTCATGGAAGAATTTGGAAAACTTCAACCTTCTTGCTAGATATTCTGACAGGAAAAAGGCATGATAAAATTTTAGCAGAAAAAAGGCAGTATAATCCATCGGAAAAGATTTGGCACAGCTGTTTTGGGGAGAGGAAACATATTACGCACTCGAGAAATGAATAAGGGCGGCCGCACTATTTTGCTGAAATATCTGACATTTTTAAAACTTATGGTGCACTCCAAATTAAACGCTCCAGTGTAGAAATAGAGAAGCTTGAAATGTAACAAAACAAAACAAAACAAATCTTCCAATAACGATTTCGGCGGCACTTGTTGGAACAGGAAAACGGTAATTATATGTTGGAAGTATTAATAGAGGTCGTGCTCAACTCAAAGGACTGAACAAACTTTCTAAAAACGGATTCGATGCAGTTTTCTGTGCAAACATATCAGAGGTTTTGGGACAAATTGATTACTCTTGAATCATTCTAACACTGTCCAACAGCAAAGGTGGTGAACCGAATGAACCTGTTCAACAGGATAAGTCTGGCACCTGCCTTAGTGACATCGGACGTGCGCGGCGCAATGGCCGTACGCACGATCCGACTCTCGCGATCCTGCAGGCCCCTACAGGAGATTGGGAGGGGGGCAGGCGTTATGGAGCAAAGCTACGCCGCATTCCCCTGCGGTATATCCTGAGGGCCACTTGCGTTGCGTCTCCTCAAATTGCAGCCACAGGAGTATCGGTGCTCTTGCCAGCGAATTAAACTATTTTCTATTGGTACGCTTCAAGATGTTCAAACTGCACAAATGCAATGAAAAAAATTGAAGAAAAGGATGAATCTCAGGGATGAATTGAAGGCTGAATATGATATGAATCAAAAGCTGGATTTAAAAAGTGTTTAAGAGAGGTGGAATATGAGATTAGATAAGAAAACAAGAAGATTTTCCGTCAACGACTGTCCAAAAAATCGATTTCGTTTTATTTTGTTTTCTCTTGGGTTCTGTTTTACAAACACTTCTTCCTCAAATTATATTTCTAATTTATCTTCAAAATCCGTTTATCATTCGAATTTTGATCCTTTTCTATGAAGAATATGGAGAACGGTTCAATCCGCTGGGTAACGCTAGCTCATCTGCGGCTGCAATTAGGAGCGACGCAACGCAAAAGGCCCTCAGGATATACCGCAGGCGAATGCGGCGTAGCTTTGCTCCATAACGCCACGCCGCCGGAGATTGGTAAGTATCGCCCCTGGCAAGCCCGGTCGCGACCGCAAAATATTGCTTCTGAAGCAAGTAAACAGCAGAGACGCCTGTCGATTCAATCTCGTCCTTACCGAAGCACATAGTCATGCGGGACGCCTCGCTGCAACCAATAACAAACTCGCAGTTGCCGTGTTGCAGCACGATCCCCGTTGGTAAGGACAAAAGAATCGAGGGGTGTCTCTGTTCAGACTTCCGAAGGTGTTTACTCGTTTCAAAGCTATACTTTGCGATCGCGGCCGGGCTATGGCCTGCATAGGGACCTCGCTTTGATACTATGATGACGGTGAGGTGCTGCTCCCAAATCTGCCCGGACACTGCCTTTGAAGGAGCGGCTCGGCAGAATGACAAATTTGGGATATTTCGTTCTCGGTTCCCCTAGATGAATTAAGCCCAAGACTGTGCTTTGCAGCTTCAAAAGATATCATAACGCTTCCGCTTTTCCAAAAGTGAAAAGTGATAATTGAGCGGACGGCGTATGCCTGCCCTCTAAGGCGCGTGGGTACGGTAATTACCGTGTCTCCACTCACGAGCGATCGCGCTCTAGAGAGCAGGCATACGTGGTACGCCCAAATAGCACTTTCAGTTCGGAAAAGCGGGCTATTGATATATTTTGAAGCTGCAAAACACAGTTTCAGACTTAGCTCATCCATGGGAACCGAAAACGATAAATATCCCGAAGTTGTTATTCTTCCGAGCCGCTGCCTTTACAGTGTTAATTTAGTCAATGCAGCCGAATGTTTTCCGTCATAGTTGCCAGCAACTGTTGCCAAGTGCCGGATTTGGTATCACTCTGTATTATGCGCTCTCGGCAACAGTCGGCAACATATGACCGATCCCTGGGGAAACGGCCTGCTTCAGCTGTGCCTTTTTCAACGTCCTCAAAATACGCGTGATTATCCTTGTAGATAGCCTAAAGCACACGTAGGGAGCTGATCGGTAGTTCTGAAGCTCTTCTCTCTCGCCTTTTTTTGTAGCAGAATTGTGCGGCATGTGCTCCACTGTTTGGGTATCCCTTTCTTCTTCATGTTAGAACTTTGAACATGAAAGTCAATAATCCTCTGCACTTTACAAGGAAATTTTCCCGTGCTGCAGGCAACTTTTTCATGTGTGCCCCAAGGCAGTGCTCGACAAACCCTAACGTGGAGATTGCTGGCTTACCTGAGGTTGTCCAATGCGCTATTCCCAAAAATCTACCTTGGAATGCGCGAAAATGGTGAAAAACAATATTTTGCGGGGGCCTCAATTCGAAATATGGACGAGAGAAACAGTCCCCGCCATGGTGAGACGTTGCAGTACCCTTACGGTTACAACATTGCGGCAATCTCCGATGGTGGGAAGGAAATCACGAAGAGTAGAAAGTGTTAGACCTGATGACACGGTATTTGCTTGGTGGGAGACACGTAAGACAGAACACTCTTAAAAGACCAGATTAAATCCTGTATGTCTTCAATCAAATGTCATAGGCCACAATCTCGAAAAGCCTACCTAGGTATAGTCGAGTAGATCTGACGGTATTCTCCTCAGGTAGGTTAACCCAAAGTATGATACAAATTTGTTACATAAATCTCTACACAAATACATTAAGAAGGAGACCCTACACACCTATATAAAGCAGTGTACGCTCGAGAGAGTGGCAACAAACACAGCGAAACATTAGAAAACCACAAGTTTTATTGAGAGCGAAGAGGGCCAGGGGTATCGCTTCTTTAGCCCTTCGAGGCAATAAACGCAATGAGGTCCACAACGCGGCATGAATAACCAAACTCGTTGTCATACCTAATTAGAAGACCACTTAATACCATAAGATATACTGCAAAGACTTACCATGAGATAAGCTTGACAAAATTGGGGTTGAGAGAAATGCAAGCTCCGGGTTGAGCCAGAGTGCGCGGCGTACGGGCGTACGTGACGTACGCAGCGTACGCTCGGTATATTTATCTCATAGGAGAGTACGCGGCGTACGCTGCGTACGCCGCGTACGCCGCGCAGTCTGGCCCAACCCTCCTGCATCGAAGATCGAAGAATTGTGAACCGACGAAATCAGTCGACACGACCTGATCCTCTGTGTCCCAAAATACCCTTCATTGGACCCTCAGAGGCTGCCTTGACGACCTAGGGCAGGAACTCAGCACTTTGATTGACGTCACTCAACAAACCTTTTTGATGTCATCCATGGAAGCCGCTTTCTGCAGACGGCAAGTGAGATCGACTACCGAGACATCAGGGGTTGGAACACGGAAGGCCATTCCAATGAGTTTTCCATTTAGAGCTGGGATGACCTTGCCGACAGCCTTGACAGCACCAGTCGAAGCAGGGATGATGTTCTGGCCTGCACCACGTCCATCACGATAGTGCTTTCCTGATGGGCCATCAACTGTTTTCTGCGTCGCCGTTGTGGCGTGGACGGTAGTCATAAGTCCTTCGATGATTGTGAAGTTGTCATTGATAACCTTAACAAGTGAAGCAAGACAGTTTGTGGTGCAAGAAGCATTACTGAAACAGAAATGAGTCCAGTAAGGAAATGTGCACACTGAAGCGATAAAAGCGCACCTGATAATGTGCTTTTTAGCAGCATCGTACTTTTCGTGGTTCACACCCATTACAAACATCGATGCATCTGCAGATGGTGCTGAGATGACTACCTAAAACACTGCTCATTATTCAAAAGATTAGTATTTTCATCGATGGCAAACGTTGTACCTTTTTAGCGCCTCCTTTCAAGTGAGCAGATGCTCTCTCGATGGTAGTGAACACACCTGTAAATTCAACAATGATTTGGGCTCCATCAGATCCCCATAGAATTTCAGCAGGATCCTTGCTGTAAAAACTCACAAATCATATTATTCAAGAAGAGTTTTGCAAGCATTATCATCCATATTTCTGTCATTCAACTACAATTAGTAAGCACTTTCCCCTTACAATCCATTAGAGATTTTAGCGGGCTTGCCACGCCCGACTTTTTTCACATTTTTTTTTCAATTTACAAGACTTTTTTTGTAATTCAAAGATTGTTTTCAATTATCTTCAAGTAAAAAGTCACGCGCGCACTTTTACAACTAACGTGGTATCGAGTTAGAGCACAGTGGCTGTTCGAGCTATCTTTTTACATAACATATTCTAACTGCTAGATTCTACGATCACAGAGCAAAACGAATGAGAGGTAGGCAATTTATGGCGGCAGTGATGCCTGTTTAAGGCTGCGTTCATACTGATCCCAAAGTCCCGGAACAGTTCCAGCACAGCGCTCGAATTAAGCGCTGTGCTGGAACTGTTCCCAAATTTTGGGATCGATATGAACGCAGCCTTTTGCGCCATGAATCCATGTGAGATACGATCCCGGAATATAGTTTCGAGGCGCATCTCTCAGCCGTTAGAGCACTACCTGAGCTGCCTGTTGGGCAGTGGCTTAGTTAGGGCCCCAAAATTACTTTCCACGTAAAATTCTCACAGGTCCAGATCTGCCTAAACGCTGCCTTTAAAAACCATGAGATATCTATGAAGAAAAACTTACAACAGTGTGTGTAAATACGTCAAATTCTTTATCCATGTCTTTCGGGTCCATCAAAACGTGGATGGTCAAATTCTCTCTGATGATTACGGTTTTAACAATTCCAATTGTCAACACCTAAATTAATAAATTAAACACTGTGCTTTAAATATTAAAAAAAAACTAACTGTGCTAAAATGATAGTCCCCATAAGAAAACTTCTCATCAATGCCCGCAGAGTACTCCACGGCTACAGTTACAGGTACAGGCAACGCTTCGACAGCCGCCGGCAGCGGCACTTCTACAGGAAGTGCACTTTTTAGTAAATCTTCAGTTGAAATGTTTGCCATGATACTAAACATCAAGTTTTAAACGACACATTGACAACCATCTCTATAACATAAGTTTCAGGCAACAACTACTATGAAGTTACCAAACTATAGGGCTCAGGATCGCGAGAGTCGGTGAGTTTGCGGCCATTGCGCACGCAGGATGCTACAAGGCCTCAAACCATTCAAACAATCCTGTATTTCTCGGAATCGCCTTAAATAATCAGAAGCTTACATTTGATAGCAGAAAAACGTCTAAAAGGCGAAAAAAAGACCGAGAAAGCTCAATGCGCGAGCAATGGCCGCAACCTCACCGACTCTCGCGACCCTGCAGGCCCCTATACAAAAAAATCCTGGAAACAGGCTGCGAACCAAACTGAGTGTGAAAAAAAAAGGATATTCAATTATGCTTGCTCGAAAGAACTTAACCTAAACTTGTTTGTTTGAAGACAAAGAGAGCAAAGTCGCAAATCCAAAACCAAAAACCTTTTTGGTGAAAAGTACAATCATTTATATTGTACATAATTGTGAGGAGAACTTCGTGTCTGCCTAGTTGTTTAAATAAGCAGGGCAAAACTTCAAAAAGGGGCAAAATTCAGAGCATTTTTAGATGAATTTATGAGAAGTATCAAGAAAACTTCCATTTTTGAAATGACGACCTACGAGACGAAATCACATGTGGGGGACGACTCAACCTGTGATTTGAGAATTAAATGAATCAAAGAATCAAATCAAAAATCACATGTGACAACTCAATAATATCTCAAGTCTGCGTGACTGCTTAGAAACAAGGAAGGCAAAAAGATTTTTGATTTTGAAATCAAGAACTATGACACGAAAAGAAATGAGGAGAGGGTGATCGAGAAAAGATAAAACGGATATTCAAATGGTAATTCCTCCAAAACGCTTCATGTGTGCGTAATTGATCAGCAAGTACACCAAATTGAAGCAATTATGCGAAATTGCAAAACATTTATTCTCATGAAGAACTACAATACGAAAAAGCATAGCTAAGATGGAACAGAACAAGTTCTTCAGCCGCATAAAAAGATGATGAAATATGTAACGCCGACATGATTCAACTCCAAAACGAAGCGCTTTTAACTATGGCAAAAATAACAATAGAACGAATCAAAGAAGAACAACCATTATCGACCGCCTCAGAAGCGTGTCGAAGAACGCAGGAACGAAACAAAAAATCAAAAAAAAGGAAAGCGACCATTTTAGCGTGTCGAAATACGCAATGAGAATGGGAAATCGAAGCAAAGGGCAGCTCACCATCCCACATGACTTCCAGACTGGAAAACAACAGACACGAAAACACTGTCGCAAACCAGAAAAACACCATCGAAGACGTACAGACAGCATCAACATGCTTATCCACCAACGTACAGACAAGTACACCATTCGGTTTTGTATATATAGAAGGATTAGGTCGTCCCAAAAGTATTTTCGCTTTTTCTGAACAAGCGCCACAGTCCGCAGAACAAAGGTTTAAGGAGCCTTTGGCAGCATTCGATGCAGTTTTTCATGCTCTTTCAAATGGTCATCTTTGTTTAGCAGTTGACACAATGAGCTATCAGAAAATTGCGATAAACTGCGACCCATGCTTTCTACCAAGGTCAAGTTCAGCTATTTTTCTAAATTCTTGTACTGATCCCTCCAAGAAGTCTAAGTAACCTGTCGATAGAGCAAACAAAGCAGGATGCAAAACATTTTTTGTTCCTTCCATAGCTTACTTTGAAAATTTTTTAAAATTATTTTGTCAATGCTATCAAATTCCATATTTGGTCAACTTAAACCTCATAGAAAACTTCTCTCCTCATCTTTCCCGCAAACGGTCGGCTATCTCTTAGCTCTGACCTTACCATCCACCAAGGATAGCATCAAGAAGACAAGGTGGAAGAAACCGTGGCTGGTCCACTACGTCTACTTGGTGGAGAAGTCATGGACCAAGATCGCAACGTCACAAGAATGTGCTGGTTGGCACGAGCAAGATTGAACTTCTGCCATCGAAGGCGATCGAAGTCGATGTCGTCCAACTCAAGCCGTAAGCGGAATCATCGCGGTATCAATTGTATATAACCGCTGAGGATGAATAAATGTAAATGTAAACCTCATAGAACAACAGCCGGCGAGCAACCGGGTGTTATTCGATGCAGCCTTTTCTCCTCTTTCAGAGACATGTTTTTTGTTCCTGATTCAAGAAGTATTGGAGGATAAAATCGACAAAATTCATGTTTTTCAAGGAACCCTAGGCTGTACCCGCCAAATCAAAAATTGGAATTCTGAACCCCGAAACGCTTACTTGTTTCGTAAAATTAGTGCTGAATTCTAATCCACTTTGAAAGTATCAAAAATCGAAAATTTAGTGGAGTTTGACGAGTCTGCGTATGGTATGGGACTCCTAAAATTCGATGGTGTTGTTCAAAATTCTGTCAAAAAATTATGAGCCCTGGGAAGGGAATCGAAACTGTTTTGCATCCTACTTTGCTTGCTCTATCCGCAGGTTACTTGGACTTCTTCGGGGATTCAGTACAAGAATCTAGAGAAATAGTGGAAGACCTTGGTAAAAAGCATGGGTCGCAGTTTATCGCAATTTTCTGATAGCTCATTGTGTCAACTGCTAAACAAAGATGAACATTTGAAAAAGCATGAAAAAATGCATCGAATGCTGCCAAGGGTTCTCAAAACCTTTGTTCTGCGGACTGTGGCGCTTGTTCAAAAAAAAAATGTTCGAAAATGCTTTTGGGACGACCCAATAAATAAATATTAGGTTGTCCCGAAAGTTTTGTCCGTTTTTTCAACCTATCATAAAAAAACGTGGAACAAAGATAGGGAAACGCTCTAAGCACTACCCGACGCATCTTTTCCTCCTCTTTCTAAATGTCAAGCCCACATGCCAATTACTCTCTTGCTCACGGATATAAACGCCGAAATTTCGAACCCATGGTTTTTACTATGTCCAAGTTTGACAATTTTTCACAATCTTCATTTTCAACTTTGGAAGACCTTTGATAGCCCTCAGATAGAGTAAGCAAAGGGCAATGCAATGCAATTATTTGGCACTAGTTGGCAAACCCGGCTCCGCCCGGCCCTGTCAATAACATATTTGTAATCAGCATGCTCGATTACCCCCTTGTGCCAAGTCCCAGCCCCGTAGCTCAAATTTTGCAAAAAATTGATAAAATCGATGTCGATCGATGATGAAAAGTAGCCTATGACACCCGCCGGGGCCCGAAGTGTATGTGTGCCAAGTTTGGTCCGGATCGGTTCAGAAATGGATTTTCTATTTGGAACGTAAGTACATACATACATACCATACAGACAGACAGCAGACAGACAGACAAACAGACATTCAGCTTAATATATTAGGTCAGTGCAAAAGTTTTGTCAGTTTTTTCAATCCATCGGCAAAGACGCTAGAATGAACATAAACAAACGCTTTAAAATGTATCCGATGCAGAATTTCTTCATCTTTTTAGCTGCCAAACTCCCATTGTGTCTCGTTGAGAGAGTGCTGAGATAATCGCTGGAAATTGCAACCATTCGTTTTTACCTTGTCCAGCTTTCACTAATTTTCAAAGTTTTTGTACGAGACTTTCGGGGGAGTTCTAATAACCAGCAGATAGAGCAAACCTTTTGCTAACAGAATCAATTTTTTGTAGCCCTACGGCTTGTCTTCCAGAACTTCTACGATTTATTTTTTGAAGTGACCAAATTTTACATTCAGCCTATTCTGACCTCGTGGAACATGAAATGGTAAACACTTCAAGTCCATTCGATGCAACTTTTTCTCCCCTCTCTAACAGCTATTTTTTCTTGGCGAGACACGAGAAATTTGCAGGAAAAGTTGCAGTATTTCTCTATTTTACGAGTACGCACTGTCGTACCCTATGTTTCCAAATCTTCATAAGTCGAAGCGAAAATCGCTCATCTACTTTGTACTGGTATCGGTAGTAATAATCGAGTGTTGCAGCCTCAGTTTTCTGTAGGTTTTGCAGTGTTTGGTGCAATAACAGGTTGTGCGATTTTTCCAAAACACAAGACTTTTAGAAAACTATTCAGCAAAAGTCTGAAAAAGCAGCTGAAACAAGGAAAAAATTGATTCTGTTAGCAAAATGTTTGCCCTATCTGCTGGTTATTAGGGCTCCTCCGAAAGTCTCAAACAAAAACTTTGAAAATTAGTGAAAGTTGGACATGGTAAAAACGAGTTATTGTAATTTTTCTATCAAATATCTTGTCACTCTCGCAACGAAACACAATGGGAATTTAGCAGCTGGAAAGAGAAAGAAATTCTGCATCGGCTGCATTTCGAAGTGTTTGTTTATCTTCATTCTAGCGTGTTTGCCGACGGACTGAAAAAACTGACAAAACTTTTGCAATGACCTAATATAAGATGTCTAGCTGGCTTTTCAATATTTTTAGAGATAATTTTTTCAAAAGTCTTCACTTTTGCGAAGTTTTAAAATACAGAAACGCCTCGCACACTAACAAATCATCGGATTTTGTAGCTCTCAAAAACCGATTACGATTATTCACTATTTTTACGAAGCAAATGAGCGTTTACTGCTTCGAAATATAAGATTTTGCATTTTACGTGTACACGCTGGGGTGGGGTCAAATTTAAGAATTATGAAAATTTTATCGCCAAAGACCCCGCAAATTGAAGGGAAAATACACTCACTGGAAAGAGGAGGAAAAGCTGCATCGAATAACACCTTAGTTATGCGTCGTTTCATGATCTCTGGCTTTTGGCATCACCAAAAGTGGAATTTGATAGCATCAGAAAAATAATTCTAAAAGATTTTCAAGGCTGGCTATAGATGCCACAAAATTGCATTGTATTGCCCTTTGCTTGCTCTATCTAACTGTTGCCAAAGCTTTTCCGAAAGTCTAAAATAAAGATTTTGAAAAATTGCCGAACTTGGACATAGTAAAAACCATGGGTTCGAAATTTCGGCGTTTATCTCAGTGAACAAAAGATTAATAGGCATAAAAGCATGACAATTAGAAAGAGAAGGAAAAGATGCGTCGGAGTGCTTAGAGCGTTTCCCTATCTTCGTTCCACGCGTTTTTATGATAGGTTGAAAAAACGGACAAAACTTTCGGGACAACCTATATAATGTGCTGCTAGAAAGGGGAGTAGATCTATTCCAAATCCACGAGGCCCATATCCCTTTTTTGAATTTTTATGCATAGAATGAATTGTATCGCGGATCGCGATGTAATTGAGCGATATTGTGCATAAGAGATGCATAGAATGACCCTTCAATACCAGCTGAGACGTTCGTTTTACGGATCGCTTTGCAATCAACCAATGTTTTGAATGCTTGCTAAAGAAAGAAGCTAACTGAGACATGCCAAAGAATGGATCCACGATGGCAGATGCGACATTCTCCTCGACAAAAAAATCTTGGACTACAGATAAAAACGACGAGCTGAAGGAGGAATGATGGTGCCAGCAAGCGAACGTCTAAATGTTGCTCATGCATTTTCCATCACTTATACTTATTGCTTGGGCCTTTCTATTCGCAATCCTTGTACGTTGATAGCACATTGGAAACACCTATCTTATGTTTTCTATTCTCCTTTTGTACACTTGTTACAACCAGTCCAAATTCTACAAGATATCCAAGACATCATTTTGTCTAACTTATCGTCATCATAGTTCCAACTGTTCGTTAGCAACTCGTCGCTTTTTCATGTTGATTTGCTTCTTGTTTATGTATATATCTTAAGCACAATAAGGGTTTAATTACCCAAGTTTGAGGTAATCGGTAATAAACGTGTGTCGTTCGTGTGATGATTGGTGTGGTTTAATTGGCAAGGTTGTGGCAACCTTTTTATACTGCAAGAGATGAAAATATAAGCGAGGAATTAGAGCCTTGTTAGAGGACACTATAGGATTCCTTCATACTACGCCGCGCACGCAGCGTACGCCGCTGCAGCGCAATGGAAATATGCTCACGGCAGAGAGTCCACTTTTTTTGATGTATCTCTATATTTGCTGCACATTCGTGTCCCTCAATAGTGTTCCTTCACATTATGCATTTCTTCTTCTCCTTTGCCTTGTTTATCCCGTCTATCCTTTGTCTATATCAATGATTGATGGAATGACTTAGGTTGTTGTGCTCCCTCTACTTTTGAGCACATTTTGTATCGTAACTGACTGCACATTGCGTCATCTGGTTGTATATTGGTAGTATATGGTTGTATGGTTGTATGTTGTATCTGGTTGTATATTTGCGCTGTTAACATCTCCTTACAAACACATCACTGGAAGAAAAGGATTTCTCTTCTTCATACTGTTAGACTGCAATTGCAAATTTGATGCGCCGTTGTTGCCGCAGTTTGTTTTCTTCGCTCACAAAACATCATTCAAGTTTCGGCGCTGACTTCAGTTACATTATACAGTCAATGCGGCAAAAAAAAGACTCGGTGGTTTTACTTTCCCTTTGGGTAATCTCACTTCATATCTGTCGTTCTCTTGAAAGACACCTCACTGTGTGTAGCTATCCTTCTGTATCTGATTAAAGAAAATTGTCATGGATGAGAGAAAATAACAGTGATAATGAGAAGGGGTATGAGTATCGAATCTGAGAAAGTAAAATCTCACTTGTAAAGTAAGTACACTTATAAGTATGGTAACGGAGAGAGAATGTCTACAACCTGCATTCACTCCGCATTCACAATGTTAACGTATCTGGGGTCAAAACTGTACAGAAATAAATGATGAAATGACGCTCGTAATAATAAGCAATTATAGAGAGTCATCAAAAAAGTGGAGCTCTGCTGCCGTGAGCATAGGGTTCCTTCATACTACCCGCGCACGCCGCGTACGCCGCGTACGCCGCTGCAGCGCAGTGGCAATATGGAAATATAGAGAAGAGAAATCCTCTCCATCCAGTGATGTGTTTGTAAGGAGATGTTAACAGCGCAAATATACAACCAGATACAACACACAACCATACAACCATATACTACCAATATACAACCACATGACGCAATGTGCAGTCAGTTACGATACAAAATGTGCTCAAAAGTAGAGGGAGCACAACAACTTAAGTCATTCCATCAGTCATTGATATAGACAAAGGATAGTCAGGATAAACAAGGCAAAACAAAAAAAGAAATACATAATGTGAAGGAACACTATTATGGGATACGAATGTGCAGCAAATATAGAGATACATAAAAAAAGTGGAGCTTTGCTGCCGTGAGCATATTTCCATTGCGCTGTAGCGGCGTACGCGGCGTACGCTGCGGCCGCTACCAACATACCGTAATTGCTGTTGGCTTCATTTACTCAACCTGTGGGATTGATTAGTGCCGCCATTGCTTGATTCGCACAAATATCCTTTGTTTCTTGATTATTTAACGGCATGTTAATACTATAAGTAGATAAGCAAGTAATTTATTGTCAGTAGTGTTATAGTTGGCTAGGTAGTAGTTTTGTCCATCTAGTCAACGTTTTATATTTCTTTCGATAGGTTTTATTCATTATCTCCTTTTGAATGATTGCCTAAATGAAAACATGAAGCATAGGACATCAAGTTTCCAGCTGTTACCTTTGGCTTCGTGATCGAGATCTGGGCGTTAAATAGGATCCAGTCCACTCATCTGATGGAGCAGTCCAGCTATCTGACTCATCCGACTGCGGTAAGCTACTGAATGAACGTCCTTCTAGGCTGGATCTAGTACGTCCAGCGCTTCCAGTCACAAATGAACTCCCACTGGTAGAAGTTGCCTTTGCAGGTGTTTCACTTGGTTTGCTGGCCGTGGAGCTTTGTAATTGCTGCTTTGTTGCTTGAGAGCTGGTTGCACTTCCAACAGACTGCGTTCTTGACTCAGGTGTGGCGGAAATACCAAGATGGCTGCTGGTTGATCTTTCACGATAGGTTCCTCCACCCGACTGGTGAGAATGCGAAGTTGCTTGTTTGGGCTTTTGCCATGGATATGTCACGGGCTTGCTTTTAGGTGTATGATAACGGCCGGCAGGTTGTTGCACGTGTAGAAGCATTTTGACCCATTCATATTCGGCTTTCATGCGGCGGGGCGGATGTTTTTTCGAAGAGGTTGAAGAAGATTTGCCTGCAGATTTTAGGCCTCCAGAGGATCTCATTTCGTAAATACATTCGTAGCAATCGCAAACATCCTGGAATGTACTCAATCATACCAGAAAGAGAAGAAATTCTGTTTCGTTCAGCAGTTACACACGCATAACTATAGCCTGCTCATATGCCTTAAAACTCCGGAGTAATCATTAGTCTTCTGACTCAAAATTTGCAAAGAAGCAAAGTAATTTTGGACTCACGTTCTCTTCACGAATCTTTCTTTCGGCTCTGCAGTTGGTGCAGTTGCACACCTATGAAAAACTTCTGAGATTCCATTAATTAGATAATTACAGATGAATATGCTTACAGGATTATAATCCCTTTCAGGAATGTAGGTCGCTGTTGGTACGGGTATAGTCCCTGTCTGAGCTGCCACGGCTACAACTGCTGCTCCTGCGCGATCTCCTTGACTTGGAAAAGTAACTGCAACGGTTCCTCCTGGACTTGCAGGTGTGGGAACTGGCTGCAAGTCTCGTGCACTCGGCAACGACGATGGCTTGGACATTGAGCTCGACATCATGGCAACCCCTCCCGTCTTTGTTTTCGGGCTTAACGCTGTCACGACGCTCGGCATATGCTTTCTTGGGCTGGAGAGCGGTATTGGTGTTGTTGTTCTAGCACTGGGGCCTGCCGAAGTTTGCGATAGAGATTTGGGAGGTGGAGCCGTGCCAGAAACTGCTTTTCCCGTCTCTACTCGTTCTGTGACTTTCAGGGCTACGTGAGAAGCTCTTGCTGGGAGTGTAGTTGGTGGCACCGTTTTCTCCTGCAGCCACGAAGACCACTTTGTGGAGATGGGCTGTGGCACTTTCGTTGGAGTTCGCTTTGGAGAAGTGAGCAAGAGCGGCTCCTTTTCTGATTTGGGCGTTCGCGCACGACCAAAACGTGGTGACTGACTTCTTGCCCTCGGGGTGGCGGCCTTAGCGGTTTTCAAAGACGACGATGGTGTCCAGTATTTAGTTCCCGCTGTTCCCGGAGTTGCTTGTATTATAGGTATTGTACGGGGAGGAGTTTTATACGGCAGAACAGACTGCTTGGTTTCGGTCAACGTAATCGGAAATGTGCTGTGCAGGGATCCTATTGGAGTCATCTCCTTCATCCTCGTCACCTTTTTTGACGACAAATCTGCACATGAAAACATCGTTTTAATAAGGTTAAAGTTAGAGGAAGTTACCTCTTTGTGACTTCGGCTTAAAGGTGCTCTCTGGCCATCTGCTTTTTGGAGCTTTTAGCTTGACACTGCGTCTTGCTAAAGTACGATTTCAACATATATCAATCAGAATTAGGTTCCTACATTGTGACGATTTCAATTCATCGGTAATCTCAGCTGCTGTCCTCACTGGAATAATTTCACCCTGCTGCCTATAGCGCGAACATTCGGGACAAGTGCAAAACTTCTCAATAGCGACTTTTTACGGTGTTCAAACAACTTGAATACAACTCACTACACCCATCGATGACATTGTCGGCTGTGGCATATACTCATACTAAAAACTTTTCTGATATTTATCAATTTAAGGTTGATCGCCGAATCACCTTGGACTTCTTCTTGGGTTTTTTCGCTTTAGGAGACTTGCTCGAAATTCGTACGAGCCCTTCTGCATCACCTTCTTCCTGTCAAAATGAAGTTATAATAAAAGCATTTGTGTCTACAGTGCTCCGCTAAATTAGCAATCACATTTTGCTAAAGTTCCGTTAGTCTGCGCTGTTTGAAGGGGGAGAACAGGGAGAGTGGATATTGGCCAGCGATTAAGAGATGATGGAAACAAGAAAAATGCCTAAAAGTCCGCGTGCTAGCTGTGACACTCTAATTGAAACAGCCTATCAGCTGAACATGCAGACTATTGATTACAGTTTCCATCGCCCATTGCCTACTCCGGAAGGCTTCCTACTCGTGTAATCTTTACTTTGCCTCATCTTGATGAGTTACTACTCGGATTCAGAGTATGACCAAGTCAAAATTCGTCGAGCATAGTGTGCTTGGCGGGTCAAGTATTCTAGTTTCTGAATAGATGGTAGCAAGTTAACACGCTGACGACCAAGCCATTTTCGACCACATCAAAATGGACTGATGATCTACGGCTGCGGTTTAGAATGTTTAGCAGCTACCGCAATGCCGTGTGTTCTATATGACAAAACCAGGCCACCAGTGTTATCACTGCATAAATGTATCTGAAAACTTCTCCTTTATCCATGATAAATTGATGCATGAAAGTGCTCAAAGGTCAGGGCGTGCATACGCGCGGATGCACACGGTCGTCAACGTGTTAAAACGAATTTTTTCAAAGTGTTTCTTCTTTGTTTGTTGTCGTGAAAATCTTTATGCTGATAAAGTGCTATGGAGAGCCATATGCAAGATTTAACTGAGACAGAAAGAGGCAATGAAAACGTTTCATTATGAAAAACTACCTATAGGGTTGGGCATGATTGAGTGTTTGCAGCCGTTGTTCAGACAGTAGATTAACAAAACCTGAATTTTCTTTCGCTTGTCAAAACCCCTTTATGAAATGATAGTTTTTAATCAGCGGTTTTGGGAAGTGTGAGAGTGTTCCCATCTCTTTGGTTTGAAGCCTTGTGAGCAATGTCCGTCCTACGACCACGACCTGACGTTCTGAACTTTTATTTGCGGTGGGTTGTATATGTCAAGCAGAGATTGTTTCACAGGTTTGACAGGATGGTAACATGCTCATCTTTTGGGAACTGATAAATTGCAACAGAATAGCTCAAGCGAGCATATAAGCAAACAAACTACCTGAGCTTTTATTTCCGTGTCCAAATCGAGACGTCTTTTCAACTCAATGCACTTTGCGCAAAACGGCTCTGGACATTCCAGAAGTGCCGCAAGGTCGCGTCGCTCCTAAATGCCATTACTTGTCTTGGCCATCACTGTAATTTTTCGAATAGTTCCGAGACGGATTACGACATTGAAAATTTCGCCATAATTTTTCAACTCGGTACAGCCTTGACCTGGGTTTGTTTCGTTTGAACCTTTGAGTAAGATGCTTTACAAATACTTCAAAAGACGAATAGTCGTCTCATATGCAGCTCAACAACACGCTCCGGGCATTAGTTTTACTTACGGAAAACTATGAAATACATATTAGCGCTTGTGGTTGTTTCTGGCTACCGTAAGCACATTTTCCCTTACGACGAGGGAAGCAGCGTCCTTAGCCAGGGTATAAGACTCATGCAAACATGCTACATTTTCGAAGACTTCGGTCCATTCACTTGCTGCTTCCCTCGTCACAAGGACTTCAATGCATACAACTGTGTAAACCATGTGCTTCGTTTTCTGTAGCAGCTACGCATCCGAAACGAATGAGCATTGAGAATTTACCTCCTACGCGGCAAAATCGACAAAAATTAAAAAACATACAGCTTCTGTAAGTGTGCCTTTTTCCATGTCCTCAATGATATCGCAACGGCATGCCTATAACACGATCATTCAGTGCAATAAGGAATTTGTTCATAAATATAAGTGAGTTTGTTGTTACACCTGACTCTTAAGAGCGACTAGGAGAGAACTAAAGAAAAAGTACCGCGCCGACTTTGCAGGTCATCGATGGCTAGCGCCTTATCGTTTTGTTTACTTCCACTTATTTGTTGTTTTGTTTGCAACAAATAGTTAGACGGAAGTGTATGCTTTTTCTACACAAAGTGTCACTCCGAGCTTTACTGGGAGAGAAGTGCTTGGGCAGCACGGATCAGTCCTGCACTCACAAGGGACTATTGAAATACAAGTGAGACGGATTGCAAAGACAGTCCTTGAGATAGCTAGAGCTTTACCCCAGAGGAGACGAATAGTACTGCTCACCTTTTCAGCTTCTCTTCTACGCCTAGTATGTCTAGCAGGTCTAGCACGCCGTGACCGAGAGGATCTTGGTTCGCTAAAAGATCAGAGAGGTTTGCCCAGATTTTGCCAGTAATGAGTTAGATATGAAGTTGGAACGTTAATCGTTACCAACCTCCTACTCCTACGCGACTTTCTACGAAATGATCCGCGGTATCTCCGAGTCTTACGATGACTTCCTCTTGATCTTGACTTCTTTCCACCTCGCCTGCTACCAGCGCGTCCTTTTCTGGAACGTTTACTGCGACGACTCCTTCTTGACTTTGAAGAACGTTCTGTTCTTTTTGAATGCTCCGATGGCGTTTCACTGTCAACCGTTTCTGAGGCAAATAATGAGCCTGTGATTGACTGACTGCGAGGCTGTGTCGGCGTCGTCAGCACCTCATCTAATTTGCGTAATGCGCTTCGTTGTTGTTGACTAAGCGTATTTATAGTGACACTCTCCTGACCTCGAGCAGTTGTAATATCTTGTTGTCCACTGTCTCCTGTCGTATTACTGTAACCTCGCTTTGAGGGTTTTCCAGACATCGAACCGAACTCAAATGTACTGTCTTTTCTGTACGGGGAACCAGTTTTGGGGCTGAGGGCGTATTGCCTGCGACTCCTGCGTGCAAAGACTGATACTGGTCCAGTCTTCGTTTTGAACTGAACAGCAGTTCCTCTTGGGGTATGCCTAGAGTCTGCCGGTCCTAATGAGCCACCTCTGCTGGCGACAAGTGTGACTGGTCCAGATCTAAAATTATTGAGTCACCATTGTATAATCAATGAAAATTTCAAGATTTTCTGGATGCATTTCCACTAAGTTTGAAACTGCTCATGAGCTTGTCTCTGGGCTGAACCAGCACTAGGATGTATGAAGACTGACCCTTAAATGTAGCTCAGCCATAGCTTTAATGTTGCACATAGAACTCTGGCTGAGATAAAACAACAGAGTTGTTATACCAGTGTTTTGCACAAAGATATGGTAGCTCTTCTTGTCTTGCTACAATGCGTTTGACGGGCCAGCGCCGCGTAGTGCAGTTACACACCTGCGCGCGAGCGCTACCGTCGGCTGCAGCGTATACAGGGACCATGCCGCGCAAAGCGGCATGGTCATTGAATTAGCTACTCTTCCTTCTTCTTTCTTAGCTTTTTCGCTATCCTGCTTCCGAATTGCTGAGCTTTTCCTGTCTAAAACGCTACTTCAGTGCTCTCCTGAGGTCTCTCAAACTATCACTGCGCGAATTAGAAGACAAAATGAAGGTTTGAGGTGTAAAAGAAGATGTAATCTAAATCATTTTATTTGAGAATTCTGACAACAGCTGGTGCCCTTCCTCTTTACAGCTAAAAGTGGATACGTAATCGTATGTCGTATGGGTTGAGAGAACAGTCTGAGTGAACAATCTAGATGATATACGATTATGCCCGCTGAAACAGAGTCGATATAATGAATATTGACATTCGGAATCAGCCATCTGCAGAAGGCCTGGACGAAATGAAAGATGTCGTGAGAAGAAAGCTCAAAGATCTGATACCTCCTCCCTTACCTGCGAAAAAATCGTATCCGGTATCAAGACAAATCGCATATGAGCACAGAAGCAAGGATTATGGCAATACGCCGCTACAAAAAAGGGAAAGATATAAGATACAGTGACAAAAACAAGGTCCGCGATGTTGTGCGCAGCATGGTCCCTGCACGCTGCGTCTACGGTAACGCTCGCGCGTAGATGTGTGACCGCATTACGCGGCGCTAGCCTCGTTGAACGCATTGTAGTTACCGTACCCTAGGTAGTGCATCAATCTGTCGTTGCCTATCAATTCGTCAATCTAGCGCACTTCGAAAATAAATCGATTACGACCGTCTAGGCTATCATGCAGAAGAGATCAGCACCTTTTACCCTAATTTCACCTGTATAAGCGCGGGGGATTTTTTTCCAAAATTCAAATTACGTAATCGTATGTCGTATGGGTTGAGAGAACAGTCTGAGTGAACAATCTAGACGATATACGAGCCCAGCCCAGACACGCCAAAGGACTTTACAACCAAAGGACCCTATAACGTGCTGTATATTGCTTGAGAGACGTGCGATGTAAAGATTTCTTTCCGGAATACAGTGAAGCGGCTGAGCGTCTCGCTTGAAAATTCGAAAACGTGCGCCTTATACGTGGAATTAGGGTAATTTTTTCTATACGGGGATCAGGATCAGCGAAACTTACGAGGGATAGGAAGAAGTTACCCCCATGCAAAAGTTCTCAAGTCAAAAAGCTGTGACAAATGCAATCGTCATAACTCTGCAATTATCGGTCTTTCCACACTTCTTCATTAATGAGGACTCTTTATAAGAGAGACTGTCTTTTTATTGTTCAATTGCCACAAATCATCTAGCATTGTAAAGTCCCAAAAAAGTTAGAAAACGAGGTACCAAGATACTGCCTTTTACTATCATGCTTGCACGCTATGTCCATAGTTGCATATGTAGGTGGATCTACGAAAATATGAGCGCTATCGAAGCCGTCGACTTTAATCGTAAATATTGTGCAGATCACTATGCTTCATATCACCAGACTGACTTACGTATCGCTACTTGAAATAACACCACTGCTTTCTGCAGCGCTTCGGCAAGCATTTTCAGCCAAGGCTTCTGCTTGTTGTTTTGATCTGAATTGTGAAATTAAACAGGCTGCATTTGCAAACGATGGGAACAAATATCATGCTTCCACTAAGACTGCTTTTGGAGGTTACAACAACTGTCAGTGGCAATTTTTCCCTTGGTCGCAAATGCGCACCGCATCCAAAGGCCTTGCTTGCGAAATCTCAAGACTCTTCAGGAAGCTACGACTGGCGGTAGTGAGAGGCCAGATTGCGTTAAATTTATTATAATTACGACTTGATACATGTGCGCTGCCCGTTAAAATAAGTTCCGACTCAAAGGTGTGCAATCCACCAGCCTTAGAGCGTTCACCTGCTTTACACAAAAGTGTTGCAAAGGCTTCGCGCCGAAAAGGGAGTGCGGGTTTGGTACAGAATGTAGCCCCACAATACAGATTTCATTTCCACCACTCCCAGAGCATTGCATTGGTTGATATCTACAATGCATAGCTCCTTTTGGCTGAAGCATTCCTTCGAAAAAAAGACGAAAAAATATCCTTATTCCATAAATGCATATAAGTAATACTCAAACAAACCTTTCCAAATTATTTTCGGCACCACCGCCTTCCATATCCACATTAACGACAGCTACTGACACAAGGGTGGCAACTGAAAGCAAATCGTCGATAAGATGGACGGCTACTTGTGTGACACAATCCACGTTCTTTCTTATTTGTGTAATCGAAATCGAACAGGTGGGTCTACGAATTACGAATGGCGCACAGCTATATAATGTCAGAAAAAATTTTTGCTCCTCATGAAATACAAAACTCGTTTGAGTTAGGTCCAAAATTACTCTACTCATTGTAGCGTTGTCGTAACAGCTCTGCTCAATCATTTAAGACGCAGCAAATGTCAAGGTCCAACAGGTCCAAATCAGCATCCATCAACTGATACGAGATTTCGCGGCATAGAGTTGGCTAAGGACTTCGGTTTGTCCACTCACAATTTCGGCCTACCCTCGCTTTTATCGGAAGTTGCGAGGCGCACCTACTTCTGCGCACAAGATCATTCCTTTCGTCTACAGTCTCTGGACAAAAGGAAAACTGTGATCCAAGTACTGAGGTTCACCTTCTATATAATGCTGCTATAATAGCCCGATATAGTTATAGCAGAGCTGCACTGGCATTCGTCTGTAACAGGGACTCCTATTGAGCCTCTCACTCTATCCACACTACACTTCTGCCCGTCACCTCTTTATGAAGGCTTCCTTACGCTGAGTCGTAACTGCCTAAGTGCTTATAGAAGTTGTTTCCTTCACATCTTTGGCCTTATATATGATTTCTTAAGCATTTCCCCTTTCGTGCCTTCCTCTAATTAAATTCCAATCCACACAAATCCAACCTAATCCTCAATTTTTGTACCCATCCTCCACCTTTTCTACAAGATTTACCTTTGAAGGATTATATGCATCAACGGCGGCGTCCGGGCAAAAGAAGGAAGGATGAACATTTCGATCAGTACAATGTCCCTCAACTAAACCACCAGCCAGCGCGATGTCAGATATGGCAAAGAATGTGATAAGATAGCTTTGGAAGAGACTTATGTCTCTGTCGCCTGTTTTCCCGCTCGTCCACTCCATAGATCTGATTGTGAGATGAGCCTGAATTACATCAACTTTGAAGGAATTGCTCAGATGTTCTGCAACAATCTGTATAAGACTTTAAACTTAGTGGTAATCATTTTTATCCCTAAATATGCCCTTCTGCAGTACGTGCTTTCATGAGGCTCAATCACAATATGATTTTTGACGAACTCAGGAAGCTCCAAGAAAGCTGCATGCAACTTCTTATGTCCGTAGGCTTTGCCATAACAATAAGAGCAAGTGGCATCGGTAGTACCTAGCATTCCAAGAGTTCGCTTCTTATATTGACCACTGACTTCCCCTTGATTCGCTTGAAGATCATCAGGTAATTGATCATTTTGTCAGTCGAGGTAACATGCACAGTACGCGACCTCAGATAACCGCCGGGGGCAGGCGGCCATGCGAATTTTGAGCAAGCGCGCACCGGAAAAATAGTTCGTTGATTTTTTGCGGCCCGCTTGCAGAAATTTGGAAGAAAGTTGGCAAAATTAAAGACGAATGCTTGAAGAACAATCACGGTTTCTTTATGAAATAGCTGCGGCGCAGTGGCCGCATTCTCGCGGACTTTCCGCGAGAATATGCAAAAATTTCGAGGGCCGCACGCTCCTTTGTGAGGACCGCGCAACCCCCAGGTACTTTCCGCTGAGAGAAAGTACCTCAAACTTGAGTAATTAAACCAACGGTGACACCTCTGCCACACAGAGTCTTACCTGCGCTCGACGTACGCCCGAAAATACCTAAAAAGAGTCCGAGCGCTTGCTGAAAGTTTGGCCAGCGCTCGCTGGAAGATATTATTTGACGAGCGCTCGCAGAAAATTCTGTATTGCTGCCCGCTGGCAGAACGCGGAAGTACCGCCCGCTGAAGGTTTGGCCGCGCCCCAAAATTCTGCTGACCGCCTGCAGAAAAGCGCGAGTTTGCGGACCGCCTGCCCCCGGCGATTATCTGAGACGTTGCCTTTGTTATTCATATTGGCATTTTGTGCTCTTGTACCAGCCATGGGTCATACGCTCGGCTATTAGGATTCCATTGAGGAGATTAGATAGCCAGGGTGAGCAAGATTGTCTACGTGCCTCTCGACGGAAGAAGAGCCAAGCAGTGTGAGTGATGCTCTATTCAAATTGCCAAAATGATCAGTAGTGCAAAGGAGCCTTCTACATCATGATCTATCATGAGCAGTTCTGTTACTACGTAGAGCATCTCTGCTACAACAATTCTGCTACAAAATGACTTAGATTTTGGCCTTGTTGCACCGTTTTTATCAGCATATCATCTTTGTTCTCAGACGTGAACATATCAAAGTCGCTTTAGAAACAGCCAAGAAGACATATTCAGAAGTGGAAAAGCACAGTTTGCTCACATTACCATGTGAGACTTCTTTGACACAATGCTCAAGTTTCCAATAGAGACCGCGAAACTCTTTACGGCAGGCTCTTGGGGAAAACCGCATCAAAAGAATTGCCACCAACACTCAGGCACGCCGGCTTTTGTAGCCCGTGCTTGTCTTTTCTTTCAAAGATAAAGCGCAAGGCAAGTCACTAAGTAAAACGGTTCGTTTAGGATTGGCAGAGAATCAACACAACCGAGTGGATTCATAGACAAACGGTGTCGAACGGGTAAGGACCGGTCAATGGTAAATTAAACTAGCAATTACATTCATTGTTGTTTGTAGTGCTATCAATAAATTATCATTCAGTTATCATCTACATCGAGGCTGTGCGGTTACTCTGCTTCATTCCTGAGAGTCGATCATAGCTGAAGCTCTCCAAAAGTAGAATATAACTGCTCTCTGAGAGGTAAGGAAACGAACTTCGCCAGTTTTGATTGCCTCCGCAAACTACGTCTCCAAGCGATATGCAACAAAACAAAGAATCACTTGTCCGCGGGGCAACTCAAGCTGGCGAAGTTCGTTTCTCTTGCCCCTCCCTGAGCCAAAAGTTGTATTCCCGATTTATATCCTCTACACAATCAGTAGAAGACTTAGGTCTACATACGAGCGTATGCTCACCAAACCTTAGCTCATTGATGCAGGCTTTGCTTTACAAAGAGATTGGAGAAAGGCTCAAGCTGTTGCTTTATAGCAGTGTTGAGGTTTTAGCTGACATACCCTCGATATCATCCCATATGTCTTCCCTCAACATGACGTGGATTACGTGGCTTGATGAGGCGCCGCCTCGCCTCGGGCTTGCGCCACGTTGCGTGCGCATTTTCGGCGTGATGTGGCAACAAGAAGAACGTGGAAAAGCCTGCGCCACGTTGTGTTGAGCGCCACGTCGCGCCAAATGATGCGCTCGCAACGTGGCGCGAGCCCGAGGCGAGGCGGCGCCTCATCAAGCCACGTAATCCACGTCATGTTGAGGGAAGACATATGGGATGATATCGAGGGTATGTTATTTTTTTCAAGGGCCACATCAATTGTATTTCATGCGTTTATACGCACATTAGAAGATCAGTTGCTGTTTATCCATCAGAGTGAACTGCGTCCTCTTGGGCTATTGAAGTTGGGAGTAGACAAATGGCTTTTATTACATCGCTCACACCCGGCGACTCTACTCTATGTATGCCCTTTATTACGGATAGCATTTCAGATCCTGGATCCTGACCAGTACAAAGACTTTAACGCAAGCACTCACCATTGCCATGTGGACTGCTCCCTGGTGACGGTACTTTCCCTGATCCTTGCGACCGTAATGAACTTCGTGACCGCGACTTCTTCCTCTGACCGCTCATGGTTAGTAGGAACTAGTAAACTGAACATTACAAATGAATGCTTTCTGTTTTCTATTATCACTAGCTGGTTTTCCCGGTCTAGCCCGGGACACGTTAGCTGATCTTTGCTCCACTTCCCCCCCCCCCTCGTCCTCTCCCCTTCCCACCTTGCCACTGTGTTGCGCAGCAAAGGGTTCCTGTGTCAAAGTAACTTACCCGCTGTATGCGCCTCTTAATCCAACGCATTCTTCCTACCGCGAGAATCGAATGAACTCCATTGCTGCTGTTTACAAATTATAAAAAGGACTTGTTAGCCCATGTTGAGAACTCATTCTTATGCGAAAAATCAATAAATCAATAGAATGGCCCAGCGAATTGCAGCAAAAAGTAGCGCTAAACCAGCTCCGGGGAATACATATGTATGCAAAGTTTCAGCTCAATCGGTTCATTGGCGGGCGTTTCCATAACGAACCAACAACCAAACGAGCACACTTACAAATTTTGAGTTTTATATTTATATATTAGGTCATTCCGAAAGTAATTTCGCTTTCTTCAAACGGGCGCCACATTTGATGGAACAAAGGTTTCTAAGAGACCTTGGAGGCGTTCGATGCAGCATTTCATTCTCTTTCTAATGGTTATGAGAATGTTGAAAAACAGTCAATGAGCTTTCAGAAAATAACCAAAATCTGGGACCCATGCTTTTTGAGATGGTCAAGTTTCACGATTTTTTAAACCTTTCGTATCAATTCTCAGAAGAAGATCAAGTGACTGTTCGATAGAGCAAACCTCATAGAATACAGCGCAACTTTTTTCTTTTTTCTATAGCTTGTCATACATTTTTAAAGGAATTTTAACTGATGCTACCGATTTCCATACTTGGACAGCTAAATCCTAGTAGAACATCAAACCTTGAGCAGCTCGGGTGTCATTCGATGCAGCTTTTTCTCCCCTTTCTAATGGATGTTTTTTGTTTCCGATTCATTTAGTTTTCGGAGATAAAATTATCATAACTCATTTTTTTACCGAGCCCGAGGCTGTACCCGAAAAACTCGAAATTTGATATTTCGAACCCGTAAACCCTTACTTGCTTTGCAAAATTAATGCTAACTCATAGTACCATCTTGGTAGTCTCAAATTCCGAAAAATTATGCCGTTTGATGCGATTGTGGTTGAGGTGGGCCTGCCAAAATCCGATGGTTCTGTTAAAAAATCTTTTAAAAAATTACGGCGAGCTACGAGAAAGGGGAAAAAGAAGCGCTATATTCTATAAGGTTTGCTCTATCAAATCGTTACTTGAACTCCTTCTGAGGACTGATATGAAAATTTTAAAAAATCGTGAAACTGACCATCTCAAAAAGCATGGGTCCCAGATTTTGGTTATTTTCTGAAAGCTCATTGACTGTTTTTCAACATTCTCATAACCATTAGAAAGAGAATGAAATTCTGCATCGAATGCCTCCTAGACCTCTCAGAAACCTTTGTTCCATCAGATGTGGCGCCCGTTTGAAAAAAGCGAAATTACTTTCGGAATGACCTAATAGATTACTTAACAATAAAGTGCTAAGCGTCTGTCTGTTTGTCTGTCTGTTTGTGTATATCTGTCTCTCACGAAATTCATAGAGGTGTTGTAGTCAATGACCTGGGCTGAAATTTTGGTCATTGCATCCTACCAACATGTAGGTAAATACTGCAAAAGCACACGCCGATCCGACAATTGGAACCTTCAGAAACTGGGCGTCAAACGGGTCCACGCGACTTTTGACCGACCAATGTGGGTCGATGATTGCACTTTTTGCGAAGTTGTGGATTTGCTTAGCAGGTAAATGTGCAGACCATAGGCTTAAGTCCAGAAAGTGAGCAAAATATCTATTTTTACGCAAAATCAGCGCCAAAAATGAGTGTTTGATTAGATCATCAATTTGTCAACCATCTAATTTTCTGCAAGATTTCTGCTCAGAAATGTAGAGGACAAAAGTAACTATCTTTTGTAAAAACTAATCGGCAATAATAACTTCAGTAACTGGCCGACATTCTCTTTTGATCTTCTAAGCAAAAACTTTCTCTTCCTAATTTACTGCTCCTACATATAAAAGCTCATAAAATGAGTAGTTGTTTACAATTCGTTCATGATGGTCAGCATCGCATAGTGAGTTTCAAAGTGACATCACGCGAGCAAGAGGAATGCATATAGATAGAGAAGCCAGTGCGAGCCTCTGCGAAGCAGAGGTGAAGCACTGGTGAACAAATAATCCCTGCTTTCCTATCTTCTGTCTGAAGAATTAGCATCATTATCAAACACCGCTCGAGATACAACGTAAGGCAGCCGCTATACTTCTCGAGGAGTATAGCATGGCGACGGGCGATCGCTCGTCGCCGATATTGGCGACTGGCCAATAACAAAGTTTTTCACCTTCCTTTTTTTGAACTTTCTTATTTTTTTCTAATTTTTTGCCTCGTTTTCTGTTCTCATATTACTTTGATTGTCGTTGTCGTAATTCGGATCACTAGGATGTTTTGAAGACTGTTAAGAGCCTGATAATGTATTCTTGGGCAATGTCATGAGAATTTTAAGATACTCACCATTGCCTGCGATAATAGTTTCCGAATGAAAAATGTTGTGTCCGATTCTTTTTATAATGCTTTCAACAAGAATGTCATGTGTGGACTTGGACATGCATGCAGATGCATTCCTGAAGAGGTTCATTATTAGAAAAGCGTGTTGTAACACACTTGCACATCACGACATTGCACAAGAATACATTATCAGGCTCTTAAGAGTCTTCAAAACATCCTAATGACCCGAATTACGCCAACGACAACAAAGTACTAGAAGAACAGAAAATGAGGCAAAAACTTAGAAAAAAAATAAGAAAGTTCAAAAAAGGAAGGTGAAAAACTTTGATATTGGCCAGTCGCTAATATCAAAGACGAGCGATGGCCAGTCGTAGCGACTGACGATCGCCCGTCGTATCGACTGACGATCGCCCGTCATAGCGACTGACGATCGCCGACATTACAAGTATTTGATGCGTGTCGATCGTCGCCATACTATACTCCTCGAGGAGTATAGAGGCTGCCTAAGGCCCCAGGCAGACTTCACACGATTTGATCGTCGCGACTGAATCGCGAGGAGACAACTGTTACAACATCATTCCATGCCGATCAACTTGCATTCGGTTGTGATACTTTTCCAGCCCGAAATTTTTGAATGTAAAATGAAAATGAATGGAAATGTCGGCGATTGAGTCGCGACGATCAAATCGCGTGAAGTCTGTCCGGGGCCTAAGAGAGCAAGCCAGTCAACTGACAATGTGTCTTTTTCCTCTTTTTGCTCTAGCCCAAATTATTATCTTAAGTAACTTTAACGTGATTGAATCGCATGTACGAAGCGATGTTGTTGTGGGTAGGCGTAGACTGATTTCGTCATCCAATATAGTTTATTGGCAGGGTCAAGCGGGGGTGTGGCGAAGTTGTGGATTTCCTTGGCAAATAAATGTGCAGACTATAGGCTTAAGTCCAGAAAATGAGCAAAATATCTACTTTTGCGCAAAATCAGCGCCAAAGAGGAGTTATGGGTTGATCATCAATTGTCAAGAGTTCAGTTAATTATCTGTGAAGATTTCTGCTCAGAGATGTAGGGAACAAAAGTAACTGTCCTTTGTGGAGATTACCCGTCAATAATAACTTCAGTAACTGACCGAAATTCTCTTTTGATCTTTTACGTAAAATTTTTCTCTTCCCAGTTTACTGCTCCTACATGGAAAAGCTCATGGAATGAGCAGTTTTTACAATTCGTTCATGATGGTCAGCATCGCATAGTGTGTTTTAGAGTGAACATCATGCGAGCAAGAGGAAGGTATATAGATAGAGGAGCCAGTGCGAGCCTCTGCGAAGCAGAGGTGAAGCACTGGTATCAAATAACCCCTATGGGCAAAGTTTCACTGATTGAGGTTTCCAAATATTGGGACGCTCAAGTGAGGTAATCATTTTTGAACACGCTAACTTTGTTTCAAAGGTGAGTAAACTACTTCGTTTTGCACTCATTACAAAGTATTACTATTTCTCTGTTCACATTAGGAATCCCACTTCAACTGACCTCCAAACTGGAATTAAAGGTGGTTCGGCAAAACCAAACATCTCGAAAATTTTGATATGGAAGGTTGCGTGTACCCCAAACATGAGAATAGAGCAGGTTCGAGCTCAAGGCATGCTGCCGCTGCCTAGAAACCGCTCCTAAACCGTGCGCGCAAACCATTTAAACATATCGGACGAGCTTCCGACACCCCTCTCACTGTCAAAGGCGGCATGCCGCAATATAACAACTATGAGGGTCCCGCAACGACTCTACGTCTCTAGCCACGGCGGGTAGTGTTTCACTCGTCCAGATTCAAAATGAGGGACCTTAGGAAATGCTGCTTTTTGCCATTTTTGCGCTCTACAAGGTGGATTTTCGGATTCAGCGCGTCGAACTGCCCCAGGTAAGCGGAAGAACTCCAGGTCGAGGATTTGCCAGGCCACTGCCTTAAGAGCAAGCCAAAATCTCGTTGTCCCACTTTTTGCTTTCAATTTCTCAGAGAAAACAATCAGGCTCAAATCACTTTTGTGAAAGTTACGAGGATCAGGCTACTGAATATATTAGGTTGGTGCAAAAATAATGAGCGTTTTCTAAGGACTTTTTTCAGGACAACTTTTCTCCATCAAACTTCTTTCTTTGTAAACGTTTCAGCACAATGTTAGAAAGCTTTTTTCATGCTCTATCTAATGATGTTCAAAAGGAACTTCTAGCCCACTTTGTTAAGAATTCACAGAGCTTCAAATAATCGCGCTCAAAACCAGATTTTCGTTGCATTCATTCTCCTGGCCAGAATTTGAGCGCAAATGAAGATGGTTTATCGAAAATATAGCCTCTATATGTATTGGAAATCGTCTACATTATTCATATTTGAACATATTTCTCGAAGTTACCTAAAGTGAGATATCGGCGGCTTAGCATGGGTAATGGTTGTGGTCATTTTAGT